TGTACAACTTGTGTACACCAAGAATGATCCATGAAATATAGTGACGCTAAATGAAAATTTCATAACCAATTTGCGTCCTTATTTTGAAAAGTTCACCTCAAACAGTAAAAATCGACCATCCGCCAAAAAATTCATTTCGCTCCGTTCATCTCTCCAGATAACCCTCTTTAACTAACCCTACAACATAGATTAAAATTTATGCAGAGATTATTCTAACTACAACTATTATAATATTCAGATCTAGAGTTCTGGACAATCTTCACAACTATTCTCCACTTCATCGTCTTCTCTTCTATACGGTAATTTGTCTCGTGAAGATGCGGTTGCCGGCTATGAAGTGAGACAACGGTGAATAGCACAACATCTAGAATAACTCTAGGTCAAGGTTGCACTAGCGAACGACCCTCGTCTTCTTCTTCTTCTTCTTCAATGCTATATCTTCGATTTTAAGAGCAACAACACCATCAGCAAGCTTCTGTTCTCATTCATTGGTCCCGTCTCCTTGCTATTGTGTGCCCCTTCTTCTCTCCGACAACTGGTGTAGTGAGGTCCCGTTGCCATATAAAGCATTTAATGGCTCCGAGGTTGTCAGATCTAGTAAATTTCAGCAGGTAATGTTCTTCGTTTTAGTGTTTGTGTTTGTTATTGTTAGCCACATGAGTGTGTGTATTTGTGTGTATTGTACAACTTTCTTGGGTTGGTCCCTTGTGTATGAGCATATCGTGGACATTGCTTTGTGGTTTTGAATTTTCTTGAACTTAAGGATGTTTTCTTGCTGATAGAAGTACTCTCAGTTTTTTATTTATTGATTTTTATAGGCTGTTTTTTCTGCAGAGTGCAAATTTTGAGTCTTATAACTCTTAATTTTCTAGAACTGTATTTTTTTTATATTTTTTGGTTTATTGGCTTTAAACTTGCTTAATTGAATTAGTTTTATAAAATTGACAGCATATGTTAGTTTTTTCGACAATTGTGTTGGTATGTTAGCTTATGAGCATTGCTCTATCCTTATAAGTCATATTGTTGTATAAACGTATTAATCTTGTTAATTGTTTCAGATTTAGTTTCCTTAGTATCCTAAGAAGTCTTCAACTGGAAGGATATATAGTATTACATTGAAGTAATTAAGCTATGTCTAACTATTGTAATTTGTAGGGGTGCTTGATAAAGCAACTAAGTCAGGTCTGAATAACTTTCTTGAAGACCTAAGAAGCTAGGAGAATTAACGTTTTCTAAGGAAGAAATCACCAACATGTTTCCATACTTTTTCTTTTGTTTTGGCATGCTCACGAAGTGTTCAACAAAATGTTTGTGAGAACATATTTTAATTACTATGTTTTCAATGTGTGCTTACATGATGCGTGAGAGAACATATTTAAATTATTATGTTTAAGTGTGTGCTCACACGATGATTAAGTTCAAATATGAAAATGGACATTTTGATAATTTTGTATTGTTATATCTTGTTTACGTTTTAACTCTAAGTCCCATAATTTTATATTTTAGTTGAAGTTGACTGACATAAAGATCTATTGTAATCTACTTCATCCAGTGAATTTCTATCAGTTGTAACTTTTTTTTATTTATCCAACATGTTTCAGAATTGATTTATTCTTGTTGCATACCTTAGGCATGTATATATAGAGAAATGCTCAGGTCCAGCCGGAGGGACGGGAGTTGCCGTCCGAACTTCCACGTTTGGGGGGGGGGGGTTCCCAGTGGATTTTTTTGATGAAATGTTTTGAGCATGTTCCTCATCAAGTCTAGTTTATCCATACCCAATTTAAGCTCAAATTTCGATCGGGAAGGCAGTCAAATCATTTTTTGAAGTTGACTGCGCCAAATTATACATATAAAAACGCAGTCAACTTCAAAAAATGATTTGACTACCTTCCCGATCGAATTTTGAGCTGAAATATGGTATGAATAAACTAGACTTGATGAGGAACATGCACAAAAAATTTATCAAAAAATCCCACCGGGAACCGCCCCAAACGTGGAAGTTCAGACGGCAGCTCCCGTCCCTCCGGCTGGACCAGAGCATTTCTCTGTATATATATATATATATATATATATATATATATATATATATATATTTATATGGACTTAATAGTTTAAATGTTTAATATCCTTACAATTATGTTAAATTTCTAAAGTTTGATACAAATTCTCCTTGTTCTACCAGTAAATTGAGGTAAAGGGATGTCTTAAAATTTCTAATTTGTGACCCGACATGATGATTTGATCATTTGACTTACTCATGGTGAACTAAGTAAGTAAATGCACACATACTTGGGTAAGTTCTAGGTAAGTTTGTCTCATCATGATGACTTTCCATTCATTATTTTTGATAGGGGTTGCCATTTTTCTTTCAAATTACACAGAATTGTTCTACTCCTCAAAGATGCCTCTTGAAACTTGTGAGTAATATAAGGATAAGTTTTATTTTCAGCAACCTAAACAAGTTTATTTTTAGTCCTTCCTTCCACACACGTTTGATCTTTTTCAAATAATAGAGAATTGGCTTTGATCTTGATTTGTGCAGGATGTTTCCCAATACAATACTATCCTCTAGTGACTTTGCTTCAAATGGAGTTTTTCTCTTGTAAGTGCATCACTATTTTATGTTATTATTCAATTCCCACTGCCTCACTGAGTTCAAAATTAAACAAGAACTGGGTGAAAACCGGAGACCTAGAACTCTCATCTTACTGAATGTTTGATGTTTAGCTTAGACGAAACATCAATCCTTGAATTGTGGAAGCTTAGTTTTTAGAAAAGGTGCCAAAAAATAACCATAAAGGTAAAGTTGTTGCTTGAGATTTATTTTTTTATTGAACTCATATTGCTGTGAGTATATTTATCATTATACGTTTATTGCAGCCCTAGAGCAAGCTAGATAAGGTCTGCATATAGTTAATGGATTTTAAACAACTATTACATTCCGCCATGATAAAAGAATTTATTGAAGATAGTCATGTTTCATAAAGGAATGCATGAACTTTAATAGGTATCAAAGGTTGCAAACAGCACGCAAGTGTGTACCAAGCTCAATTGGGGAGTAATTATGAATGTCCAGAGGACCGCTTATTGTAGTTTTTAAATGCTTGAATTTTCGCTTCTATTTTAGCATGTGTGGAAGAAATTTGTTGTTGCTAGAGTCGTGTTTCTCTTTTAGGACTCTTAAATTAATGTTTCTTTCATCTCTACTTTGCTCATTTTTCTGTTCATCGAAGTGAAACAAGAAGCTAGGAGAGTGCAACTCTGAGTGTATTATGACTACATTTAAGAGTCCACTTATTTTGCTCAAGTCTGACTTCTAGAAATTTGTTTTCTTGTTATTTACCTTTAATATGTGTAATATTTCTTGTATTCCTTGCTGTTTGTTGCTAGTGTCCTGCTGGTCGTTACCTTTTTCAGTTCTAATCCTAGCTTCTTTGAAACATTCAAGGTTGGTAATCTCGATTTCTTCCTATATTTCTTGTCAGTTTTTAATTTCTTTTTTCATCATACTTTCCTTTTGTATGATTTTTTAGATGCATTGCCTAATAAGAATGCAATTTTTTTGTACAACTTTCTTGTTTTCCGTTTTACTCTTTTTTATATCAAAGATGCAATTTTTTTACATTTGTTTACTCTCATTCTGTGTTGTCACTGTTTTCTTAATCCAAGTGCAATGGGGTTACATAATAAAAGCATTATTTTTCTTTTGTTCTAAATTTTGTTATGATGTGCGACGATATTAGAAAAATATGTTTTGTTAAAGTTTAGGAATGCATGCACTGATGCAGGTACGAGGAAAAGCCTTAATTGCATATTTGCATATTTCTTAGCATATATGGAGATTAATTTTATCTGTTTTTTTCTCCTTATGTAACATTTCAGATTTGTTTTGGTCCTGTTATGCAAGGATGCAGGTTTATGGGATGACAGAAATGAATATCTGCAGTTTTTGCTTACCATAAGTGTCACAACTTGCTTTGATTTGATTATGTGACTTTTGTTTTTAATCATAAATCTAACTTTTCATATTTGTCCACTATTTTTCTCATCTTTGGTCAAATTGCAGTAAGGGTTTCATCACGAGTACAGAAGATGAAGATCATTTGGATTTTATCAAGAATGCTGCAGTTTTTATCAAAGTGCGGTTGGATTTCTATTGAATTAAAATCGTTTATGACTTGTATAAAATTGGATGTTGAAAGTTGCTTTACTTTGATGCTTTCGTTTAGGAGTATAAAATTAATGTAGACTTCTTAGATTTAATTGTGTTATGTTTTTATCACAAATCCGGTCTTTCAGGTTTGTTCACTAAGATTATGGATGATGCTTCGATAAAGGTTCAAATGCTTCACAAGACAAAGAGGGAAGGTAAAGAGGTAGTTCGATGTTAAGTGCACAAGTGCAATGATGGCAGATTGAGCTTGACATCACATTAAGGATAGAAGACTAATAGAGTCCTGGTTTTGTCAAAGTTGTTATTGTTTCGTTCACATTCCATAGAGTTGTGAAATATTCCCTCTTGTTTCATCCAAAAAAAGTGAAATATTCCCTCTTGTGTTGTGTAGTTCACATAGTTGTAAAACATTATCTCTTGTATCGTGTATGACAATACAAATATGAATATGACGCATAGTGTTGTAATTGCAATTTAAATTATGAATGAAAAATGTTCTTTTGAAGTTTTTGTTATTTATTAATATACACACAAATTAATATATACCCATCAAACATAGACACACACTTGCTATATAATATCTGTTGATAGTATAGTGTCATAATTTTATGACACTTGCTCGTGACACTAAATTTAGTGTCGCAACTCCCAGTTTTCGTTGAAACTTTCTCAGTGTCATAAAAACTTTCAATGACACTAAATTAGTTTCACTATACAACAGTTTTCTACTAGTGAATATTGTAAGTTCATCTTCATACATTACAACTTAAAACATGGGTGCAAGGTTCAAGTTTTAAAAACCACTTAGTGGGATTTAGGTCTTCAATAGCTTAGTGAAATGAAAACATTATTTGATACATGTTTATTTGAAATATTAGACATTTTTTTGTAAAATGTGAATGAAACCTTATTATAACATTGGATTGGAAAGGCCTCAGGTTGATAGCTTGATTGATTTCATTAGCTGAAGTTATTAAGCATAAAAAAGAAGCAGAATTTACCCAATTGACAACATTACAATCATTTTTTATATAAACTGGTAGAACATTCCATAAAGCTCATTTTTGGCCACCTACAAAAGAACCAAAAAAAGGTACAAAAAGAACCAAATATGTTGGAGTATTTGTTAATGTCACTCTGTTACAAGTTAAATGAAATTGCCTATATAGATACCAAATTAGTAAAAAATGCTCAAAGAAGATAAGAATCATAAAATATAAAACTTACTTTAGCACACAACGTAAACTTGCAATACATTGTAGTTGTAAAACTTATTTTAGTTACATATGTTTATGTATTATCAAGGTGGACAATGTTTTGTTCATTTATGCGTGTGTTAAAAATAAAATTTCTGATGTCTTTATAAAAATCATATGCTTTGCGGACTGAACACAAGGCTTATTTATTAAAGAAACACAAGTAAACTATTTACCTTAATCTTTGATTTGTATTTTCACACAATGCCCTTGTCAATGATAGTTTAGGAAGTCAAGTTTCCTAATAAATAGATGATTTAGTTAAACTAGCCATGGATTAAAATTGAAGTGTAAAGACAATGAATTGTTCCCGCAGTGTGCTTAGAGTTAATTGAGTCTCGAAGAATATTCACAAATAGCTGTAAAGAAAGGAATCATTAGTTGTTTTTGTGTTGTAAAATGGATGGTAATGTGAAGAAAATATTAAATAGCATACACGTTGTTGAGGTGCTTCATGTCCAGGCTTCCTTAGAGGTTGATATGGGTTATATTGTTTTCAGTGGTGTAGGACGATTTACTTTTGTGAAATATAAACAACTTCATATTTAGACATAAAAACAACTTCAAAAAAGATGATGAGTCCCATAAAAAACACTTCTAAAACTTGAGACATAAAAACAACTTCAAGTTTGAGAAAAAGGCATACATAACTCAACCTTCATATTTCAGCACTATCTTTTGTACTTATATTCTACTAAAAAATGAAAAGAAAATCAAGTTTGAATATACTACATATAACATGTAACACTATTCAAAAATAAAATATTGGAAATGGATTCAATAAAAAGACTCGCTCGATTGTCATTTGACATTCATATACTTTTTTTAATTGTGAAAATGAAGTCATTTTTTTTTGGGTTAAATGCGTATACGTAGATCTATTTTAAGTGTGTTCTTACCATTTTTATAAAACTTAGAGCGGCAGAGGTAGGCATGGCAATGGGTCGGGGCGGGGCGGGTATTGCAAGACCCGGACCCGCCCCGTGACTTGGCGGGGCGGGTCCGCCCCGCCCCGTGACCTGCACGGGTCCAAACTTGTTGACCCATGACCCGCCCCATGCGGGGCGGGGCGGGTCCGCCCTGCCGCAACCTAATTAGCTAGTATGTATTTTTATTTGTGGGAAGTTGTTACCAATTGAATCTACATAATGTTTATCTCTAAATAATAATTAAAAATCAATATATTAAATCAAATTCATGATACGCTAAAAATTTCAAAAATTAAGGAAAAATTACTCAAACTTGAATAGTTAATCTAATTAGTTATATTAATAATTGAATAAATGTATTAAAATTCTATATATAAAGAAGACATTGATAATCCGTCGCCCATCTCATTCTAATATATATTCATATATTATAAGATCAAAGAATTTATGATTTATTGTATACACACATATGTATGTTGAAGTCTATTTGTAATATAAGTTAAGAAAAAGAATGTATACTTATATATTGAGCGGGTCGGGTCGGGTCGGGGCGGCACGGGTCAATTCTAATACCCGGACCCGCCCCATTGTATAGGCGGGGCGGGGCGGACCCGCCCCATTTGCAAGACGGGGCGGGGCGGGGCGGACCTGCCCCAAATGTCTCGGGCCAGGGCGGGTCATTGCGGGTCGGTTTTTTTGACATCCCTAGGCAGAGGAGGTGGAAGTGGCGGAAGTAAAGAACTTACGAAAGCCACAAAGAAAGAAGACACTGTTGCACCAAACGCAACACAAGAACTTGTTATGATAGACAAAAAACCCGCACGCATGGGCACAACATTTAAACCAGGAGGTAAGCATGTGAATCTACAAAGCAAAAATACCAAACAACAAATGACAACTGCAAACCAGTCATATTTCAGAAGAGGGAAAAGCAAGGCAAACTACCCAATAATCAAACAAACCACATAACACCCAGATCAGACAACACCGGATCCAAAATGCCACAAACAACTTAAATCAATGAACCCGAGGGCAAAAGATCCAACCATTTTCTCACAAGCACCTCCTATAATCAGTGTGACAGCCATATTCATCACAACATAATGTCTAGCAACAACAAAAAAGAGGGACACCAACAATAATAACAGCCACCCTTTCAGACCATAACACCCACATACAAACATGTGCATACCCACATCAGTCATAGCCATCATCCCAAATAGGTTGGAAAAGCAGTAAAAGTGACTCTTGCCCCTCCACCGTGCAAACCCAAAGATAATAAAGCTAAGTCCTGACCTCCCACAGAAAACCCCAAAAAATTGGAAACAAACAAGGAAAACAACAAAACCACCTAAGGGAGAATTCCAATGAAAGTCACGGGTCCACACCCACAAAGAATGCATTTGCCGGGATTTCATGTTAGGCCAAGCGAGCATCAAGAAGATGAACAAACAGAGAACTCCCCGTAAAGAGTCCTTAAATGTTGAAGAGCACAGGTAAACGTCCCCACCACAACAGACACAGAAAGGTAAAGAAACATAAAACCACAAAACAAACGAGATCCAACAGAAAACCTAAAACAGCCCCAAAACAACAGTAACAACAAAGTCAAAGAGAGAAGCAACGAAAGAGCATAGAGAGAATCAAAGCAAGAAAACCAAAAACACTTACACACGCGGAAGGTATGGTAAACAGTCGCAGCGGCAGAGACACGAAAAAGAATGGCAGCAAGAGCAAAATGAGCGGACGAGTGAAATGAGCGAGAAGTATCCAACTCGTAGGAGACCAGCCTCTACACCAACATCACCACCCACCCACCACTCGCTCCAACAGTGAAGGAACAGTAACATCGGAAATGACCTGGGATGGGTAGTCAGCGTTCTTGTGGTGCAGAGAGCTACGACGCTAGATGAATTTCCATCGCCGACAAATCACAAAGGCGATAATTTTATTTGGTTCACAGGCAAAAGAGGGAAAGAAAACTGCTGCTTTTCGTTAATTAGTTGCTGCGAAGATAGGAAGAAGATTGTTGGGCTGTAGCAACAAAATAGAACGAAAGTAACTCCCTTCCACGATTTATAATATTGGGAGATACGCCCAAACTCAAAACAATCACAATTTGTTCACTTTTAATTGTTTAAAATAAAAACCACTCCCTAAAGATTAGAGTTATAGTTAAGACATTAACTCCACATAATATCAATGCTGACCCATACACGGGTAATGATAGGAACTGTATAAATTACGTTCTATTGTAGCCAACTATTTACAATTACAACAAAAGTGATATTCCGATATTTTTTTTACTTTAAATACCATAATGGTATCCATAAAAATTACATAGTATATCATAATATCAAATAAGTGACCTATTTTCATATAACTTCTATGGAGTATTTGATTATTCCCTGTCATGTTAAAAGTTTAGTCTGAAAGATTGTACATGTTATTTTTGTTATTTATTCAAATAGTTTGTATTATCAAAATAGATCCGGATTTAACCGTCCAGACATGGACTTCTTCTAGCACTAGCCGAATCAGGTTGATCTGAGACCGGAATCAGGATCGAGTCCACCCACATGTACAATGTATGATATTTAACTTTATATCCAATCACATTTTCATGTCTAACGGTAATTATACCCCTTGAACAAACTCATGCATCGTGAATCGCACGGGGGCTATACTAGTATGCTTTAAAGGGAATGGGATGGAACAGCCTTCCAAACGCCGCTCCTGAATATTCTTGCGCCTATTTTTTTGAGTGAGAGTGAAAGGATAGAAAATTTTACGCTAAAGTTCCTCATCATTCTGTAAACTTTCTTCTTCTTCAATGAAAGCCTATTATCTTCATATTTGAGAGCTTCCATTTCTAATTTCTTACACAGAAAACAGGGACCTAACAGACACCATATTACGACAAGCTCCGATCCTTTCCATATTTCAACACTGACATTGTCCATAAATCACGGTAGAATTTGGAAAAAGTTACAACTTTTTTCCTCATTTAATTTGTTAATAAAGATAGTTGTACGCGACATTCTCCATATATCACGCTAGTAAATGGAAAATATTAACATCGTTTTTCCCCAATTTCATATGTCAACAACAATAATTGTATGTGGCATTCATCATATATTGTGTACAAAGATAATTGTGTACGGCACTCTCCATATACCACGCTAGTAATTGAAAAAAGGTAACATCTTTTTTCCTCATTTCATGTGTTAACAAAGATAATTGTACGCGGCATTCTCTATATATCACGCTAGTAATTGAAAAGGTTAGCATCTTTTTCCTGATTTCATTTGTAAATAAAGATAATTGTACTCATCATTCTCTATTCATCGCACTAGAAATTGGAAAAAATTAACACATTTTCCCCTCATTTCATTTGTAAGAAAAGATAATTGCACAAGGCATTCTCCATATATTGCTAGTAATTGAAAAAATAACATCTTTTCCTCATCTCATTTGTAAACAAAGATAATAATTGTACCTGGTGGCATTCTCCATGTATCACACTAGCAATTGAAAAAATTGAATTTTTTTTTTCGTTTCATTTGTAAGCAAAGATAATTGTACGCAACATATTTTTCCTAACAATTGGAAAAATTGACTTCTTTTTTCCTCATTCCATTTGTAAACAAAGATAATTTTACATGGAATTCTGGATATAACAAGACAAATTAGATCAATAATAATTCCGCTTTAAATGTGATAAATATAAAATCAAATAATAATGTATAGTGACCACTGACCACTCTGGTGCACAATAAATAGTGTGACAATTAACACCCCTATTTATGATAGAAGCATATATTCTAATATAATATAAACATGCAATGATAAATTTTGAATATCGAGAGGGTAAAATAGATGTACAATTATACGTAGTATTACATAAATTAAAGTGCTGAATAGAAACACCGATATTAGTACGGAGTAACATTTTATATCAATTGGTGTCAACTTAGGGGTGTCCCCAACTATGACTTTGATGAATTTAAAAAGATCATGGATTTTGAAATCCCAGGGGAGTCTACAAGATTGTGGTGTTATGTTTTTGTATGTAGAAATCCACCAAAATTCATTACAATCCATCTAAATAAGTAATAATAGAAATCCACAGAATTTTTGAGAACACCTTGATTTTCATAGATTTCACCGAAATCCAAATCGGGGACAACTAAATTGTGACAAAATTTAAAACTCTATTAAACTCTTCATTGAAACTAGACTAGATGTGAAGTAATCATCGGGATTGGTCGGGGCAAGGGTAAGGGGTACGAGTACGAGGGACTGGTAGGGGTGGGGGGTAGGAGTACAAGAAAAAAATGACATTTTTTCACAAAATGACAGAATTTTCACCAATCGGAGGTGGTGGGAGAGGTATTCATATTTTATGGGTTTTTACTATTTGTTATTAATTTCTAAAAAATAAATTAAAAAAAAATCAATTTTAAAATTTTTATATTAATTTTTTTTACAATTTATTATTATTTGTTACGATTTATTATTATTTTTTATGTTTATTATGAATTAAGACATTTCATTATGAATTAATACCCTTAGGGGTATTTAGGGTAGAAATCAATGTTTAGTCCTACTGAAGGGAATTTAAAAAGTAGTAGTCCTATTTGTGTTTTTAGGTGAACTTTAGTCCTATAGATAGTAATTTCTATTAAAAACTTTCATGTTTAAAAAATATAAAAAAGAGAGAAATTAAGTCAATATTATTTGATACCAATGGACTTCCACTCCTATAAATATTTCATTTCCGCAAACAATAGGATCACACAAAAAAAAACTGATCCCATTAGTACAATGGATTCTCACTCGATAACCATTCCAACCTTTGTCTTTATCATTGTTTTTGCCTTTTCATTTGCTTATGCCTACGATCCAAGTCCTGTTCAAGATTTCTGTGTTGCACATCCAAAAGCTACTGGTACTTCTCATACCAATCTTACTACTTAGTTAGTTATAGCTCCTATATATATTTGCAGGGCCATAGATGAGGGCGTGCAAGAAGTGCTACCGCACAAGGTTTCTCGATTCAGAAGGCCCAAAATTTTAAATATAGTCTACATAATATACAAATTTTTTTTTATTTGATTAAAGATTCCTATTTTAGTATTTTGTTTTTAAATGCAAACATTAAATACTAATATTTATATGTAATTAAAATGCAATTGTTAATTATAAATGTGCAACTTCTTTATTACATAAGGTCCGGATAAGGCCTAGTTATGGTAATTAGCACAAATTTCTCGTACAGTTTGGACAAGCTTGGTTTTAAGGAACAGAAGGAGTAATTTTTTCAGTAACATCCTACTCTATATTTTTTTAGTTCATGATTTTAATTCATTTCTTTTCGGTTCTAGTTTTTTTTATCGATTTTGATTGTTCAAGTTCAAAATATGATTATATCTCAATGTCATTTGATTGTAGTATTTTTGGGTTATTTTTTAAAGGCTGTTTTTTATATTATATGTATTTAATATAACGCCTATTTTACGTGTATTGAGCCGGCCCTGTATATTTGATGTATATTATTATCATGGTAAACATGACATATACTTCGTAGTATAATTCATGCAATAATTCACTTCTTTTAATTGAGAGAAGCCACGTATACACGTGCCAAATGTCAAAGAACAAATATATCTCTCAACTAGTTTTGGAATAATTAAAAAAATAAAATACAACTTGGAGCAAATTTGCTCTAGAACTATATATGAAAGAACATGGCGATGGGGAAATTTTCCAAATTAAAACATGAGTAAAAGCAAGGTGTTTTCTGAAACCACATTGCCATATAATGACATCATCAGAACAGATAGACATTATTTACTCATAATTAGGAAAAAAATAGCAATTCTATTTAGGATAATCACCTTACTTTTCGTCCGTTTTAGGTCAATTTCCTCAGCAGAGTTACCGTACCTTCTTAATTTAAAGAGGTACGGTAGAAGGACCCTTATATAAATAAACAATGTTTCTAAAATTTATTTGACTGTCTTCCCGATTGAATTACAAGTTGAAATTTAGTGGAAATAAACTAGACTTGACTATGAACATGATCAATAAATTCTACCGAGAAGACGCCTCCACCGCCTTCCCTCGGCCGCGGACAACAAGTCCTGTCACGCCGCCTATCACCACCGTCGTCTCATCCGACATCGCCACCGTTTCATTCGGTGTCACCACCGCCTAATCCAGCGCCACCACCATCCCTCATATGCGCGACCAGCGCGCTCTCTAACACCACCGCGGCCTCCTAGAGTCTTATTTAAAACGATTTCTCAATTACTAACTTAAGACTCATTTTAGTTGTTTGAAATGAAACCTGTGTGCAGTTCTTGTGAATGGGATGGCATGCAAAGACCCAAAGGGTGTAACAGTGGGTGATTTCTTCACGTCGGGTCTCGATAGGGCGTTGATACAGGATCCAGTAATTTCAGGTGTAAGTTATAAGCGCGCCAGTGTGGCAGAAATACCCGGGCTCAACACTCTCGGGCTCACAATGATCCGTAACGAAATTCAGGGCGGGATCGCCACCCCGCCCCACACCCACCCTCGAGCCTCAGAGATGGTCTATCTCTTACAAGGGCAAATGTACTTTGGATTTGTGGCTGTTGACCCAAGTGATCCCACAAAAAATCGTAAATATGATGAATATTACAATCCTGGAGATGTATTAGTCATACCGCAAGGCCTTGTTCATTTTAGTCAAAATAATGGTACTGAAACAGCAATTACTATTACATTTTGGAACAGTCAAAATCCTGGTTTCAACTATGTGCCACAACAGCTCTTTGGAAATGACACAGCAATCCCCGATGATTTATTGGTCAAGTCTTTCCGAGTGGATAATCATCCCGAAGTAATTACAGAAATTAAGTCACATTTCTGATCTCTTGTTCATGGAAAGAATAAACGATCTTCAATTAAATGATCCTATGTAGAGGGATCTTCAAGAGTTTCATATATACTTTATAAGAGCATCTCCATTCATGATCTCTAATAATCAATTTTTTCTATGATTCTTACCTTT